ATATAAGGAATGTGGGGCCACCTTTCCACAATCAGATGGCATCAGGACATGCAAGCATTCACACAGCACAAAACTATTAGGAACAACGTAGGACATAGTTGATCCATCTGTCCTGCCTGAGCACATTTATACTCACCCTGCAGAATCCTCCACTCTCACTGGACACCTGAGAACTTAGACTAGATAGACAGGTGAAGAAGACAATTTGGAAGGAATTAGTCTTCCTCATCATGTAGGAGAACTGTTGTTTATCTTGCAAAGTGAGATACTTGCAGAGGTTTTAAGATGATTTTTTTTTCTTACAAGCGTGTGGGGATCCTTCAGTGATGGTGAATGCTGCTGGGTCTGTTTTTGCACCGTTGTAACAAATTGATCATTGTATCTGCCAATGTGGGCTTTTGCACTCAATTTTTATTGTTTTCTTTTTTGCAAGGTAAACTTTTACTTTGTTAAAGGGATAATGTCTTTGCCTGTTACCCAGAAAGATGCAGAAAATAGAAATGGGAAAATACTGTTTATAAATTTTCGGTTAGTGATTGATATTTTCCATGCAATTAATAAAGATCTCACTTGTACAAGAGGTTTTGTTTCATGAATGGCTGTTCTTTTATTATCTCCCGTGATATAGTGAACTGTTTTACTCTTCCATACATGGTGGGTGTGCTAGTGTTCTGCTTGGCGTTATGTATTTATAGTTTCACAGCAGACCCCATGTGGACAGTGCATTCAGCATGCGTCAATGACCTAGCCATGCTCCAAAACCACACTGTTCACAAAATTATCCGTTTAGGAGATGGACAAGAAAGATGTCGTTTGTTCACTACTGATAAAGAGGGTAGCCTGTGCTGTAGCTAGCCCATCACCAGCAGTGATCCCTCCAAGAATATCACTAATTATAGAATTATTTAACTTGTCAGAGAACTGAGAAGCAAAGTTCAGCAGTTGTCAGCAGATGAGGAATTCATTTCTACACCACCCCTGATCCCCCATGTATGCCATGGGGCTCGTGACCTCACCTCTGTGGTCCTCAACGCCTGGTTCTGGCTGCAAATCCCATGAACATGAATTCCTGCTTCTTCATTTGAGTGAAGCCACTAGGAGTTGACACGCAGGCTCCTGTCCTGTGTGTAGGTGTGCTGATTACAAGATCTTGCATTGAACCTGTGACTTATACCTAGACCTGTCTGCTGGGCTCCCTGGAGACCGCTGTGCATAGATAACGATCACTTCCGGACACTGAGTACCTGGGTTGATCCTGTGTCCTTCTCTGTGCACAGGTCAGTGTATTGTGTACATACGTGTGCTTTGCTTGTTTCCTTGCCATGCATCTGAGAGCTGGACAGTGACCAAGGATGGCCAAGGAATCAT